ATGGCGGCAGTGAGGAACCCCCGAAAGGCCTGTGGCAGCAGCGAAGAAGCACTCGGAGGCCTCCGACAGCAGCGATGGCAGTGACGGGAGACCCCTGGAAGGCTTCAGAAAGGTAAGTTTAATTTTTATTATTTTTGTGTGGGGGAGGGTTTCTTGGGCCGGGTATGGATTAAATGGTTTTCAATGCATTTCTATGGGAAATGCATTTTCGACTTGAAGACTTTTTTACCTATGGCAGCAGCGAAGAAGCACTCGGAGGCCTCCGACAGCAGCGATGGCAGTGACGGGAGACCCCTGGAAGGCTTCAGAAAGGTAAGTTTAATTTTTATTATTTTTGTGTGGGGGAGGGTTTCTTGGGCCGGGTATGGATTAAATGGTTTTCAATGCATTTCTATGGGAAATGCATTTTCGACTTGAAGACTTTTTTACCTACGGACCTCATTCAAATACGGATTAATTCCGTAGGTTGAGACCCCACTGTACCCACTTGGTAAGGCAATGTTGTTGTTATGTGCCATCAAGATGGAACCAACCTAATAGGGCTTTCAAGGTTCCACTTCTCCAGTGAGTTTCCATGGCTGAGCAGAGACTCAAACACAGGCCTCCCACATCTTAGTCTGTCACTCTGTCCACTCCACTCCACTATACTGAGTACCTGATAAGGCAATACTTCAGCTTAATTACGGGAAAGAGATCCAAGCTATACAAGGTGGGTCTTTGGGGAGTGTATGAACAGCCTTGGTAGCTGGTTATTTCTCCATCCCCTCTGTGGTGGGCAGCTGTTGAGGTTGGTCCAAGCTGCCTTTTCTACTGTCAGGAGGCTTCTTCGTTGGCATTGATATTAAGTCTTTCATATCAATCTGAAGAACTTTTTTCTCATTTTAATGTGATTGCTAACTGTGATCAGTCTGCCTTAATGCAGTGGAATTAGCTTGAAGGAAACCTCTCTTACATCATGGGTCAGTTCCCTGTCTATGCATCAACAGAAAGCTCAGTGATGTTGAAGGTGGTCTATACACTGCCAGAAAGCTCAGTGACACTGCAAGGGTTCTGAGCTAATATAATGTAAAATGGTCACTGAAGACAGTGTTATGTTCCAGATTAGGTATTTTACAAAATTCAGTAGTTATTACCTCTTTTCAGGTGTAATATGTAAATCTGATGATGATGTCCCCTGGCATGGATTAAGGGTTTGGTTTAGAAGCCAAAGCATGATGCACATGTTTAAAATGTCTTCTTCCATGACACCAGGTTGTCAGGACAGAGCTATGAACCAGTAACTTATATATTTTATTGTACTATCTTTACTGAATGATTCTGGGACCCTGCACGCCCTCTGAGTAAATCTGTAACTGCAATTTTTGAGATCCTCAAGTTTTTGTCATAGTTCTTAAGCAGTCTTACAAAATGTTACATACTATTTTGGTGTATAATTCTTTGATACAAGGCTTCACTGGTATGCCAGTAAGTTTATCAGAAATGCTACTGATTATTCTAGTATTCTCAGAGATGCTGCCCATTCTGCTTTTAGGACTTGCTGGTGTTTATGCACTTCTGCGGTGATTTCAGTGATGAAATCTGTTATTGTCAAAGTTCTACCTTTTTTGTTTCTCGAGTGCCTTGGTGCCATAGTTAGATCTTCATCTTATGACAGACTGGCACCTGCAGCAATTTCTTTAGTGGTATAATAGGATTCTGAATGCTTTCTCCTTCACTCCATCTTCTGCAAACAACATTATCCAAACATATTTTGACAGATGGGTGTGTTTGTCTCACAGGAATTTAAAATAACACAAAAAGGGGTCATGTTTGACATAAATACAATTTATGATACAAGTGCAATGTGGAATGTTATTATGCACAACCGTCATACTATTAATGTATCATCATTAAAACAGTTGTGCATACATATGCATGCACACCTCCTACCACATTCTAACTGAACACTAAAAAATGGGATAGACCATTTGTGGCTTAGTTTTCAAAAGCTGACAGAAGTCCCTAAGGTGCAGTGAATCTTATGGTGCATGCAAACAATACTGCATGCCCTGCAATATTTATCTATTCACCAAACCTCCAACATGAGAACAGTTCTTTCAATGAGCACAATATATTACAAGATAATCTAACCTATTTTAGGTCTTTGAGGATTATTTTCTTCTGGATCATCAAGAAATGCAGGCATGTAGTTATTAAGCTCTGACTGAAGACAATGAACCAGATATCTGAAAAATAGGTTTTGTGACAGTATTAAATTCTTCATCCATTTAAAGAACCTTTAGCTTACTAAATGATTAATAATAATAAAAACTGCATTTTCAAGTAAATTCCAATGTATGGCAACCCACTCAAGGGTTTTCTGGTTATTTATTTATTTATTTATTTATTCAATTTCTCCCCCGCCCCTCTAGACAACGTCTCCTCGGGGCGGCTTACAAACATTAAAACACATTAAAACAATGTAGAAAAATAACTAACATAATTATTATAATTAATATTATCCAAGATGGCAACATTAAGAACCAGAAAAAAGGGGAAGGAACTTAGGTGACTGGAGGGAAGGCCTGTCTGAATAACCATGTTTTAAGTTGGTTTTTGAACCCACCCAGCGAGGGTGCCAGCCGAATTTCAGTGGGAAGTGTGTTCCACAGCTGAGGGGCGACTGCCGAGAAGGCCCGGTTTCTTGTTTTCTCCTTCCGGGCCTCCCTCGGCGTCAGTCCCCTCAGCCGTCCCTGCTGGCTATGTCGGGTGACTCGGGTAGATCTGGGTGGGAAGAGGCGATCTGCCAAATATTGAGGTCCCAAACCGTTTAGGGCTTTATATGTAATCATTAATACTTTGAAGTCAATGCGGAAACGAATAGGTAACCAGTGCAGCGCAGCCAGAGTGGAGGAGATGTGCTGATATTTTCTCACCCCTCTAACAAGCCTGGCTGCTGCATTCTGGACCATCTGGAGTTTCCGCAAGAGCCTCAAAGGCAGCCCCACGTAGAGTGCGTTACAATGGTCTAGTCTCGAGATTACGAGCGCGTGGACTAGAGTAGTGAGGGCCCCCCGATCAAGATATGGCCGCAGCTGGGCAATCCGCCGTAGATGAAAATAGGCAGAACGGACCACGGACGCCACCTGGGTTTCCATGGTTAGTGCCGGGTCCAGATGTATCCCCAAGCTGCGGACCTCACTCTTTGTGGCAAGGGTCGTCCCTCCAAAAGAAAGGGAGTCACCTATGCCGCTGACGGGAGGGCCACCCACCCTCAAGACCTCCGTCTTGTCCGGGTTCAGCCTCAATCCATTTGACTGCATCCATTCCAGTACGGTGTCCAGGCAGCGCTGAAGGGACTGGACGGCATCCACTGAAGTTGGAGTAAAAGAGATGTAGAGCTGTGTGTCATCAGCGTACTGGTGACACGATGCCCCACACCCTCTGATGACCCCGCCCAGCGGCCTCATGAAGATGTTAAACAGCATTGGGGAGATGATCGACCCCTGTGGAACCCCACAATTGAGATTCCACGGGGCCGAGACATTCTCCCCAATCTGCACTCTCTGGGGGCGGTCCTCCAGGAAGGAGCGGAGCCAGGCAAGTGCGAGGCCACCAACTCCCAACTCGGAGAGCCTCCCCAGGAGGATACCGTGGTCGACGGTATCAAAGGCAGCTGAGATGTCGAGGAGGACCAACAAGGACACATTGCCCCCATCGGCCTCCCTCAACAGGTCATCCAGCAGTGCGACCAGTGCCGTCTCTGTACCATAGCGCGGCCTGAAGCCCGACTGAAATGGGTCTAGAGCATTGGTTTCATCTAAGAGCGCCTGAAGCTGGTCTGCCCCCACCCTCTCAACCACTTTGCTGAGGAAGGACACACTGGCGACGGGCCTATAATTGCCAATTTCATCCGCCGCCAGATTTGGTTTCTTCCTGATGGGCCTAATGAGTGTCTCCTTGAGGGCAAGGGGTACCTTGCCCTCCTGGAGAGACCCATTAATTATTGCAGTGGCCCATTCAGTTGTTACCGGCCTGGCTGCTTTGATTAGCCAGGCCGGGCAAGGGTCGAGAGAAGAGGTGGTGGCCCGACAGCGATCAAGCACCTTGTCTACCAGCTCTGATGTTACAGGCTGCAAAGAATCGGGAATTACCGGGCAGGACGGAGCGCTGGACATCTCTGCTCGATCCATTGTATTTAAAAAAGGAGAAAGGTCACGGCGGATGGCCTCCACTTTGGAATTAAAAAACGCTGCAAATTGGTCAGGTGAGATGCTAGGGGGAGGCCCTTCACCCTGGCCAATTCCGGATAGATCGCGAACTATACGGAAAAGTTCCGCCTGCCGGTTGGATGCTTCGCTTATCCGGTCAGCGACGTAAGCTCTTCTAGCAGCCTTTACCTTATCAAGGTAACGGTCAGTTGCGATCCTGACAGCAATCTTATTGTAAACCGTCGGTTCCTTCCTCCAAGTGCACTCTAGCCGTCTCCTTATTCGCTTCATCGCTCGTAGATCCTGGCTATACCAGGGTCCTGGCCGAGCTCTACTCCGGAGAGGGCGTTTGGGTGCGATCGTGTCAACAGCCCTAGTGGCGGTGGAGAACCAACCATCAACCAGAGCTTCGACAGGTGCGCCAGACAGTGCCGCTGGAATCCCTCTCATGGTATCCTGGAATCTCATGGGATCCAGTAACCTTCGAGGGCGGACCATCAAAATAGGTCCCTGCTCCCTGCAGGGGGGAAGCGCCATTGCGAGGTTACATTTTATCAGGTAACTACAAAAGCAGTTACAGAAGCAGTTACCAGTCCCTTCTCTGGAGGTGCTCTGGGACTGTTTAACTTGCCCAAGGCCACACAGGGTGGTTCTTCTCCTGGGAGGAATACTGGTGAATCTCATTCTCAACCCACAACCAGGTGCTCCAACTAAATAAGCTAGCTAGCCAGCCAGCCAATAACTGATTCATTAAAGGGAAATCAATAATCTCTACAAACTAGGTCAACCAAACCTGCAGCCCCCCAAAAACATGCATTCATTAAGACATCAAAATCAAATAGAATTCAATGCATATATTATCAGAAATTTCCCACTAGGTCATTGAGCTTTATTTACATTGCTCTTTTGTGGTTATGGGGATTATTTTGTGGAACTAAAACAGAACACTCTTCTATATTAGCACTGTCAAATTTCCCAGATTTTCTGCTACACAATGTAAACTGTACAGAAAAAGTATGTACAAACATGCTTAAACAGACATTCATAGACATACTGCAGTGGAGAGCAAGATGCATAGACCATGTAAGATAGCAACTCCCATACAGAAAAAGTTAAGTCGATGGAAGCATGGAAAACAAAGTCAACCTCCCGGTTATTCATGTTTTGGTTGGATACAATCTATCATGACTAGACATGGGTACAAATATAAAAACAAATCAGGGTATTTGTTAAATATCCCTGATCTGTCAGATATTCGTTGCTTTGTTTTCCTTGGGTCCAAAGACTCCAATGAATATGAAGCAACGAATACAACCCTTTGATATTTGTCCCTTCGTTCCCTATCTGCTTATGCCCCTGCAGATCAGCTGTTCCTCAGGGGCATAAGCAGAGAGGGGTTTTCTCTTTGGGCGGCTTGCTAAAGCCTGCGCAAAAGGAATCCCATCCCCAGGGCTGGAAGATGGCTTGGTTCTCCTTTCCTCCTCTTCCTATGCCCGTGGGTCATAAAATGAGAGAAGGGATCAAAGGGATCCGCCAGCCGCTGCGGGGTCACTTTGATCCCTGCTTTCCCTCCTCTTGCTATGTCCTGTGGGGCTTAACAAGAGGAGGGAAAAGGGATCAAAGCAATTACACAGAGGCTAGGGGATCCCTTCTCTCATCTTCTTATACCGCGGGGCACAGCAAGAGGATGAATTGATTCATTGTTTGTCAGGTCACTGGAGGGCAGTTTGTGGTTCCTGGGTCATCAACCAAGAGAAAGCATCCCCATCTCTGATCATGACTTTTAGATTTTTTTGTAAGATTACTCCACCTTTACATTAAATGGAAAAATTCTGTTGCTCTCCAGGAAAGAGTAATGCTCTGGTTGGAACTCATGCTTGCCCAAGTGGCAGATCAATTGTACATTTAGGAATGCAACCGGCACATCAATAATAATAATTATTATTTTCTTTTCACAAGTGTCAAATGCCAATAGATTTCTGGCTAATTTGTATACAACTGAGTCAATAATTCATTTTTATGAGTATGTATGTATACATTTAGACAGCATTTTTGCGATGAGATTTAGCTTTAACAGTTATTTTAAAGAAAACATCAAGGGATAAACCTTGAGATTTTATTTAGTATTAATAATTTAGATTTTATTAACTATTTTGGTCAAGAGATTTGAAAAAAAACACCAAATATTTGGTTTAATTAATTCAAAAATGTGCTCTATTATAGAATACAGGATGCAGGGAAGTGTGTACAGCCTAAATACAGCCACTAAGTACTACACCTGACCATTGCCCTGCTTTAACAAAGAAAAGACATATAACATGGTTTTCAAAAGTATTTGAAATTCAAAATGAACATGTAATTCTTACTCAAGAAATTGATAAATATAACTTGTTCAATGTCAAAGTGGAGAAAGAAATGATTCTCTTACTTGAATGCCATTTGAACTAGGTGTGCCAAAACATCTTGTGCATCTAATGTAATCCTACTAAGGTCTCGGTCCTGCTTAATGAAGTTTAGTAATTCAGATGCATTTGCCATCCAGAAAGCAAGAGCCCCAGCAATATTCTTCTGTTTCTGCCAACATCAAAAAGGGGAAGTGTAAACACTAAAAGGTCTGTCTGTTAGTTCAACTTGTATTCATTGTGAAAAGACTTCATTTAGATAGACCAGTACCTCCTCTGTATTACATAACTCAGATACCAGATATCTGCAAATAATTTGTAAGATACAAATAATATGCTGGAGATGACACAAACCTTTAAATTATAAGTTTTCTTTAATTATACATTAAATTATTCCAAATGTTATTAGTGAAATGGAGTTAGCGTGTTGTCATGAAATGTTGGAAGCTTAGATATATGCATTATCTGGTAATCTGTATGTGCACAAGCATATATTCACTAATACCCATTGTCATCCAGATACTGCTGGTCACTGGCTTTGACACCAAGTAACTCAGTATTAAGTACTGATCTATCTCACCATTTCCCGACCACAAATGCTAGGCCAGGCAACCTCAGATGAAATCCAAAGAACAGAACCACAAACAAAACAAAAAAGGGAAGAAAAAGAATGCTTGTCATTATGTCTCCATACTGAAGTGCGTTAAGCAGAAATTATGGAATGCTGATAGATTGCGCAGTCAAAAAAGGATTTTAGTACTGCATGTTCCAGCTGCTGAATGAGTGTTATGTTCAATCCAGCTGTATTTGTTGTATTTTTACATGGAAGCAGCATGAGAAACTGAGCTAAGCCAATACCAGCTAGGATCAGTTCCCAGCAATATATCCTACCTGATCAACCTGGTCTACCTCCTGGAGTAAAACGAACAAAGAAAATCAAACAGAAGAAAGAAACTTGTAAACAATCATGGTAGTTTTAGAAATAAAACACTAAATGTGAAGACACAAGACTTATGTTTAGTGACATTAAAACATTTCAGCAACAGATGGATACAACTGAGATTTTTTTAAAAGGTACTGCCTCTTGAAGGGTACATAGTGGTTCATCTGGGGGATGCCCAGGCAATATATGCAGGAACATTAGTATCAACAGCATAACCCTAGACAGACCAGCCTCCAAATCTGCCCATAGAAAATAGAGCCTTCTCCTCTCCAGACAAGTTTAATTTGAACCAAATTGCCAGGAATATAGCACTGTAAGTAGCTAAACTGCTGAAAAACAAGGACTCTATTGGATTTTCTAATAATTAAAAAAAGAAAAAGAAAAGCTCCTTTAACAGAGAGGTAATATGGGAAAAGAAAGACAAATGCTATACTCTGTGTCATGTCCCTATGCAATCTGATATGTATGCTTATATAACTAGTGATCATGTGACCAACCAGTTAGATAGGAAATTATATCCCCATTGCTTCAATCTCTCTATTTTTACACTCAGAATAAATTTCTGTTTTTCTTCAAGAAACATATTGAGATAGCTGTCTAGGCAAATAAATTCAACTGCTTCAGCATTTCCCTTTTCTTTATTTAAAACAATATAATGTACTAACCAGAGCTTGAAAAAAATCACTATATATAACGAGTTATAATTAATTTCTTTTTTGCAATAATTACAACATAACTAATATAATTAAATTATATTACAACATAGCAAAGGATAATATCACTCTTCTCATAATCTGATTGCTAACTGTGCTATAGCTACTTTCATACTTACAGGTGTGTTTGACCTCACTACATAGATGTGTTTTCTGCCACAGGCTAGAAGATTGCACCATTTTTATTTTAAGTCACAGTAACTATTTTAGCTACTTTTGAATTTTAAAAAGAATAAAAAATTGTGACAGCAACAGAGCTGAGGAAGAGGCCTATAATTGGAGTGATTATTTTTGTAAAGTGAGCTAAAAGCTATGTTTAAATGAAAACTGCAACCAAGTTACATTGCTTATTTAAGAATGTTTTTGCATTGCCTTTCATTGTTTTTTGTTATTATCTCCAAGGGAAATGCATATGATATATTCTTGCTAAACTATCAAAAAACAATCTGCAAGAAACATTACAATAGAGAAATCAGAAGGCAACTCTACTAAATATTGAAAATAAAAAGCAGATTGCTGCAAGTCTCTAAATTTAAATGTCTATAAATACACCACCACTTATTTTTACCTTACAAGTGGTACAGATAATCCTGAAACCTCTATCTCCCATATTGCTAAGTTTGAGATCATCTGTTGGCCAGGGTTCTTAAGATAAATCAATATATTTAAGCAATTTTCTTAGAACAAGTCTCCAGATTTCTGGTTCTGTATCAAAATGCAATTCATCTCACTCATTCTTAACACAAAGCAATGTGGTCTTATAGTAATGAATGCACTGAGCATCAAGCATCACATTATCAAGAAGATAATGTGAGATTTGTTGATAAGTACAATCTACCTGAAAAATAATTTTACTCATGTTTACTCTTAAATACCAGGAACATCTTCTATCCCAACCACAATAACCCAAAAAGTAAATATTCAGGTTAAATACTAATGGTGACAAAGGGCCTAATTCGTTGTTTTAATAGAACTTGTTGAGAGTTGTTTCTATGTCATTCCTTTTGAGCTATGCCATCCATACTTCCACATGTAAGCAACCAGCTCATTCTTCTTCAGCCCTCTTTATACTATTCTTCTCCAACTTTTCACAGGAGCAATTACACACGAAACATATGGAGAAAAATCCAAATGCTGAATGCTTATAAGCAAGGTATGGAAAAGTGTGTCTCAAAATGAATGGCATGCTTAAGTACAACTGTGAGTGTAACTATGATAATATCCTTGTGCAAGAGAAGGCTCTATTGATTTCTATGTGGTAGGTCCATCTACCACTCAGTGGCTGAGTTGCACAGTTATGCAAACAGCTTAACTTTTTGGAAGTGAATCGCTGTATGTTAGGAAATCTCTACAAACATTATCTTTTGTATAGTGAGTTGTGCAGCTCAGCATTCAGCAGAGAAGGTTTATGGAGATCTCTTAACATATAGCAATTCACTTTTGAAAGTTATGGTGACTGCATAACTGCACAACAGGATTTCAGCCAGTGAGTATTGCCTGTGCAGAAGAGTGTACCAAATCTGCAGAGATATTAAGACAACAGTGAAATATATAAACATAGAAACAAGACAATTAAAAAAATGAATGTGGAACATGAACACATTGATTGCTTTAATATAGGAGTGTGTTGTTTTTAAAAAAATTAATGGAACTCATTTTGAGTACAGAATATCAACAAAACTGAATGATGTGCAAAGCATGTTTCTGCTTATTTACTGTTAATAACCTATCTGCCCATAAGTTGATGGATCAGAGTCCCCTTCCTGAAAGAAGGGCTACTGCTATTCGTGAAAGGGATTGAGATGTCACTGGGTATCTAGGTTGGGAAAAGAGAGGGAGGTGATTTTTGCCAATCACTGTTTTTCCCTCCACTACCCACTTCACCTCCCACACTGCTCTCAAATGTTTCCTAAGAAGCAACCATTCAGAGGATGAAAAATACATTAAAAATGGTTCCACATTGTATAGTGAGAATGTCTATAAATATAATTCTCCTCCTGGGAATTTCAGATCTGACTTATGAAAAAGAAGCCAGAATATATAACAAGCTCTGGTTGCATCAGTAGACTTGACAACATATTCTGCTAGATTTAATTCTCTCTAGGAAAGGGTTTGAAATGTAATTCTGAACTGGTGATTGAAAATATTTACATAGTTCTGTGCATTTCTCATCTGACTCCTCACATTCATCTTAACTTCACGTTACCTTTCTCAAATGAATGGAGTATCATATAATGCATGTGCTGGATGTGGTTTTTACATTTGTTAGAGGGAATCCAGTATTTCCTTGCTGCAGCTGAAGAAATATTTCATATTTCATACTATGATGCCATATTGATCATTTTATTGCAAGCATGGTTGAGATATAAACCAACCCTATGAAAGAAAAGTCTTCCTGAAAGAAGTTACACTATTAATAGGTATTAAAATGTTATTTTGATATTTCACATACACTGAAACTCACCTGTATAACTCCTTCCATCATGCTCACCATCTTGTTGACTATTGCAATGACTTTGTGACTACGTTCAGCAGGACTGATGTCAGGTCTATACTGGTTCGACAATACATACCGACATGTCATGTACAAAACATAAGTAGGAGACAGCTTAAAATGCACTGTTGAACTATTGGTGTAATTTATGATGGCAGACAAAAAGGCATCTTCAGCTGCAGAAAAAATGACCAAAAAAAAAAAGATTAGATGACTTCATAAATTGGACAGTCTTTGCCTATCTTTTGCAGGAAAATCCAAAAACTATTATAATCATATAGTAAGAATAATCTTAGAACTGCAGAGCTGGAAGGGATCCTATGAATCATTTGAATTTGAACTACCAATTAGATTCAATCTAAACAAACTAAAAAATACCTAAGCCATTATCATCTTCACATTATCAGACTTCCGTCGTTAACATAACATTGTTAAAAGGGCAAATTAGTAAAAATTGAATAAAGAACTGTGAACAACACAGACAATTGCCTTCAAAGACAAAAGGAGGTTTGGCTTGAATGTGCTTGCATAGTGGGCATTCCTCATCTTTTGCTTCTTCTTCACACTGCCTCTGCTTTCAACAGACAAATTCATTCCCAGTGGCATTCTTTAAAATCACAAACACTTAGCAAATACAGTGATGTCTCAACTTACGAAAGTCTTGACTTGCGACCATTTCGAGTTATGACCAGCTCTGGCCACAAAATTTTGCTTTGACTTGCGACCGGAGCTTTGAGTTACAACCGGAAAAAAGGCAGGGAAAAAGGTGGGGAACCTAAACTGCTAACCATTGATTGGCGAAGAGATTGCTTCTTTGTAGCTCTTTTGCCCCAGCGGTTAGAGAATGTGCATTCGGAGGAGGCTTCAGACTGCCTGGTACTGCTTCTACTTTTTAAAATGCCAGCATGGGTTTAGGCTGGGGGAGGTTATGTTTCTGTGCTGTGAACTGGGATTTCCAATGGACTCCAGGCTGTGCCTAGATGTTGTAACTGACATAATGTGACAGGAACGGGCAATGTGGTTAGGACAAAGAAGCTTGCTTTATCTTCCTCTGAATTTGTGGTGATTCAAATTCTTTGAAAGTGGCAATGGCCCATATCTTCATAATTCTAAATCATTATTTTCCCCACATGTAAGCTTATAGTTTACACATAATGTAAGAACGCTACAGCGTTCAAAGACGTTGGTCTTTATTATGCAATGCTTGTGCTTAAGAGATTAATACTGATGGTCAAAAAGTCAGGCTGGGTCCAGAGGCTAGGTAATAGACATGAATATGCAAGACCTTGCTGCTAAGAAAAGAGTAGCGTATCTCAGGTGATAATGTTTGAGAAAATTCCAAAATATGTGGTACTGATTCCTGGAACATTTAAGGGGTTAGAAGTACCAAAGGAAGTTTCCCATAGCTTATTCCACAAATATCTACCTTGGCTATTTTTTTCTTTTCATTTTCATTCCCTTTGGTACAACATGTTTTTACTGTTTATTGCTACCTTTTTTTGTGAGAATCCAATTATGGATTTCCACTTGACTCCACTGCTTCTGTCAGAATGAACAACCTGTCCTTCTAATATGCAGTCCCCCATGTACCCTGAAACCATCTGGAGCAGATATTTTTGGCAACTCAAGAGTGCTGCAGCAAAAGAGGAAGAGGTGGTAAAGCCCCAATTCCAATGGTGTTGGATACCTGAGTATACTGTACAAGACTGGCCTTCATTTCTAAAAAGCTTTTTGTCATGGATAAAGATGGGACGAGCTCATTGGGAAAAAGGCATAGATTTTACACCTGTAACTTTGAACAGTGATTACATTTTATAGTAACATTAAGTTCTGTAGGGCAGGAAATGGAGCTGAAGGAAAAATGTAACTACTTTAACATTTTCCACCCACTTCTGTATTTAATAAATATATCTTACAAACCTTGTTATTAATTTTTTATAAATTGTCACATCTTGACAGATATTTTTTTTGCAATGGTAATACTTACAGCTTTCCCTGAATTCAATGCTTGCAGGTAATACCAGTTCAGGTCCATGTCCATCCTGAGGTCTACAGGAAGAAAACAGATCCTCAAAAGTCCAATTCAAATAATAAAAATTAATTCCACTTTCCAAAGATAGAGCCCTTTCCAAAGGCTTTGTTTTTGAGATTGTATAAAACATTTTGTTTGTATGGAATGAAAAATACAGATCTGAAAAAAATTGCTTCTTCCCTCTTGGAGAGGTTATATTTGACCATAAACAAAAGAGATCACAGTGCAGGCTTGAACTGAAAGTCTGCATTATTAATGAATTTACAGCGCATGTTATACGCTCAAGGCAACCTGTCAGCTACTGTAAATGGCTCAAGTTACGTACAGATGTATATGTTTAAAAATAAGGAATAAAGAGGATTGCTTATTAGTTGCTTATTAGCTTCACAGAAAATCAATAGATGCTGCTTCAACATATTTTTATAAGACTCAGAGGGTTCATTACATCTGCATGTCTATCATTTTATGGCTAATTTATGAATATGTGACCTGATTTCACTGAAAAAAAAAATTCTTTAGCAGAGTTTCAAACTTCTCATTCACACATTTGTGATTATTTCTAAAATTTATTAGGCACATTACAGAAAATAGTTCTTGGACTGAAGAGCAAACAACTGAATGAACTCCAAAAATGAGAACAACATAACAAAACAGCAAAAGCTATCAGATATTAAAATATTACAACCATCAATATTATGATTTAAGCCTATTTAAACACTTTTGAAAAACTGCTTTAAAACCTCCCAGTAACAATGATACAATAGTGGTGTAACATGATCATAGCATCTAGTGACAATCCACATCCCATATAACATACTGAAGCTTCAACAGCATCTTCAGGGGCAACCTCACGTACAATTCGCTCTAGTAATCTAAGAGAGAGGTTACCAGAGCATGGATTGCCAGGCTATCTCTGTCAAGGCTATCACTGCTATGGTGATGAAGAACGACACCCTGCCACAGAGAAGAATTGTAACCATTAATGACACACAGATTGAACCACAAACATCACTAAACTATGAACTTGATCCGCTCTGTAGAGGGGAAGCATTAATGCTTTCAGAGCAAACTGAATACCACCATCCTGAATAGAGGAACCACCTATAAACATGTTGGTGAAAGAAAAAGGGCAACATAAAACAAACAAACGAAAAGGGCAAAATATTGTAAAGCTTAAACTGAACAGATTTTTTTCAGTGGGAGATTTTGGGGATCAAACCCCACTTCTTCCAAGTTGGAAATTATGATCCATGAAAGCTCAGTCTGAAATAAATGTCAGTCTTTAATGTGGTACAGTATTCTTTCTTCTGTAGTCCGGCAAGAGGCCCAAAAAAGATGGTGAAGGCGGCATTTTTCTCCCAAACAGCCAATATGCCAGAGAAGGAAAAGGATGACATCCACACTCAGAGAGAGTGCTGCTACTTTTGTGGTTGGGAAAGAGGTGTAGGAAGAGCACTAGACACTGCCTTCCATGTCCATATCATGCAGCTCCATCATATTCAAGGAAGGGTTGACTCCCAGTCCCCATTACCAGCAAATCTGTCTTGTGCAAAATAGCACTGTGGTTGATGAGAACTCCCCTTCAAGGACACACACATCTGAATGAGGGAGGAAGAGACTGAGGACATTTAGTTGGGCATTATTTCAGAAGCATGTGACGCTTGCCCCACCAGTTGCCAAAATTGGTAATGATGACAAGCTAGCAATCTCTGTTAAGAAAATGCAGTCAAAATATAGAGCTCTGAATCTGGAAGCATTTTCAACAATGTGAGGTTGAGCCCCGGCCCAGGAAAGCAGGGAGATAGATGGGAAAATAGCAAGAGGTTAATATTCAGGAAGCACATAAAAAATTTGCTTTTTGGGAGGTATGGCCACTAGATGCTGCAGTGTAAGAATATAATAAATAAAATTTCAGCTTTAGAAAATAAAGGATTTTTTTTGGTACCTGCCATCCTGCCTGCGGTAATCCTGCTGTTCTATTCTGACCATTGGTTTCACCATGCCACGTTCAGCTGTGCTGGAAGATGACATTCTGTCACTGTCCAACCTGTTGGTGCTCTGTCAAGACAACATGGGAAACATTTAATACAAAGTATCGTGTTTCCCCCAAAATAAGAAAGGGTCTTATATTAATTTTTGCTTCAAAAATGCATTAGTGCTTATTTTCAGGGGATTTTTTTTCATGTACAACAGTCTACATTTATTCAAATACAGTCATGTCATCTTCTGGTTGCTGCACAATGGTGAAGGGTGGGGTTTCACTTAACTGGGGCTTATTTTGGGGCTAGGGCGTATATTATGAGGATCCTGAAAAATCATACTAGGGCTTATTTTCAGGTTAGGTCTTATTTTGGGGAAAACAGGGTATATAACAGGGTATATACAGTGGTGCCTCGCTTAACGATGTTAATTGGTTAAAAAAACATCGCTATGGGAAAACATCGTTAAGCAAAACACCATTTCCCATAGGAATGCATTGAAAACCAGTTAATCCGTTCCAATGGGATTACCGTCCTTAAGCGAAAATCCCCATAGGAAACATCGCTAAGTGAAACAATGTTTCCCCCATCAGAAAGCTATTGAAATACATTGAAGCCGACTCAATGCATTTCAATGGCTTTCCGATGTCCGTTTTCGCTCATTTTTAAGTGTCTTAAAATGTTTGAAACCTGTTTTAAATGCTTGGAATCGGTAGTGCACCTTGTGAAAAATGTGCAAACTTAATTTGGCTTTGTTCTGAGTCTTCGCTAATTTTTGGTGATTTTTTGTTTTCCCCATTTAAATCCACTGAACTGTCCGTTCAATGGATTTAAATGGGGAAAACACAAAATCACCAAAAATTAATGAAGACTCAGAACAAAGCCAAACTAAGTGTGTAGGGGGGGGGGAGGGGGGGCCTCCAAAGGGTCATTGAAATAACATCAACTGTGGGTCCTGATGGCAATTTTTATATATATTTTAATTGTATTTTAATTGTTCTGAAGTTTTATTGTATTTTAAATGTTGTAAGCCACCCAGAGAACTTTGGGTAGTGTGGGCGGCATATAAATTAAATAAAACAAACAAACAAATAAATAAAATAATCGCTGTTATAAACTAGCAAGGACTGCCAGAGTTCCCTGAAATATATCTTTGAAACTACTGTTTGAGAAAATTATTGAAGTTCAAAGAACTGCTTGGTGGCTCTATATTTCTATGCATACGTTTTTTGCTTCATCCTTTGGTAGGATGTACTGTATTTTTTGCTCCATAAGACACACTTCCCCCCCCCCCAAAAAAAATGTGGGGGGGAAAGTCTGTGTGGCTTATGGAGCGAATGCAGCAATTTCATCCCTGCTGGCCCCGTGGGGGGAGCATCGCAAGGGTCCGGGTGAGCCTTCCAGGACCCTTGCGACGCTGCCCCCACCCCCCACGGGGCCAGCGCGGACAAAATCACCAGCTTCCAGGTGGGGGGAGCGTCGCAAGGGTCCTGGAAGGCTCACCCGGACCCTTGCGATGCTCCCCCCACGGGGCCAGCAGGGATGAAATTGCTGCATTCGCTCCATAAGACACACAGACTTTCCCACCCACATTTTTTTTGGGGGGGGGAAAGTGTGTCTTATGGAGCAAAAAATACAGTACATCCTACCAAAGGATGAAGCAAAAAACGTATGCATAGAAATATAGAGCCACCAAGCAGTTCTTTGAACTTCAATAATTTTCTCAAACAGTAGTTTCAAAGATATATTTCAGGGAACTCTGGCAGTCCTTGCTAGTTTATAACAGCGATTATTTTATTTATTTGTTTGTTTGTTTTATTTAATTTATATGCCGCCCACACTACCCAAAGTTCTCTGGGTGGCTTACAACATTTAAAATACAATAAAACTTCAGAACAATTAAAATACAATTAAAATATATATAAAAATTGCCATCAGGACCCACAGTTGATGTTATTTCAATTAAAGCCTTCTGGAACAGGAAGGTTTTGACCTGGCGCCGAAATGTCATCAGCGTCGGCGCCAGACAAATCTCAGTTGGGAGGGCATTTCATAGTCTGGGGGCAGCTGCCGAAAAGGCCCTTTGTCTACAAGCCATCCCTCTTACCTCCTTAAGGGACAGCTCTTTCAAAAGGGCCCCTTGGCTAGATCTTAACTGCCAGGTAGGTTCATATGGAAGGAGGCGGTCCTTCAGGTATCCAGGGCCCAAGCCGTTTAGGGCTTTATAGGTCAAAACAAGCACTTTGAATTGGGCCCGGGCAGCAACTGGTAGCCAATGTAACTTAAACAGAATCGGCTTGATATGTTCCCTGGCAGCCGCACCGCTCACCAGCCGCGCAGCTCGATTCTGGACCAGTTGCAGTCGCCGGACTGTCTTCAAAGGCAGCCCCACGTACAGCGCATTGCAGTAATCTATGCGGGATGTTACCAGTGCATGTGTAATATGTATTCTGAAAAATAGTTTGTCTATCAGTGCCCTTCTTCTGCATCCCTAGAGTAATGTTAGATACCTTTTCAGGTGCCCTCAGCAATCTCATGGCATGAACTGAATCTAAAACAGTTCCCCTAAGAAGTGAGTTCAAAACAGAACCCGAAGAACACTTTAAAAATAACTTCATCACAACTAATTCCCAGGAAGTTGTGATGAAGTCAATCCAGAGCAAGCTAGTCATAGCACTAAACTCTGTGAATTTTAGAAAGTGATGCTTGAAATCTAAAAGCCCTTTAACTGGGTAAATCAAGGTACTAAACTTCAAGTCTGTTACAATGTTGCTCCACCCTGGCAACATCTGTCATTCACCAGAAGAAAACAAAACCTTGTAGTCTTGGCTTTAACCTAACCCCAACTTCCTCTGATGTCTAAACTAAGAGAAATGTGGTCAAATTAAAACTGTGCTTGAAAACAAGTCAGTTCTGACATCTCTGTTCTCAATAAACCTTTTAAACCGTGGTGGGCAATTATAGCCTGCCAAGCATTGCCGGCTTATATTTTCCAGCAGCCTATAGCCAGCACACTCAACAGTGAAGGGTTATGGGAACTGAAGTCCAACAACTTCTAGAAGACTACAGTTGCTATACTTAATTTAAGCAAAGTACAGATCCAACTGGGAACATCTTAGCATTAGACATTATTGATCAGCTGATAAGCAAAACGCTCAATGCTTTTAATATCTTCTTGTATGCACCAGAAGGAGAAAAGAAAACAACATGGAAGTCTGAGGCTTATGGACATAAAAGGAAATGTGTCAAGATTTTCAGAATGCATTAAAACAGTGTTTGAAACATAAATGGCCAAGTCTTTTTACCATAGTTTTAGTTTTAGTAATATTTTTACCTTGCTAGTAGGTAATCCTATTCCACTATGGATGTCACCCTCCAAATCAAATGTAGTTTCCTGTACAGTTCTGAAAATACAATATTCAAGAACTAGGTGATTAGACACACGCAACTGGTAGAAACTTACAAGAGAGCCATGTTTTACTAAATTACTTACCATTCTTACTAGAAGCAATACATTTTAAACACAGAGAAATATAATCTACAGGTGGATTAAGTTTTCTTGTCCAAGAATGACAGAATAAAAAGGTCATTAAAATTAATATCCTTAAGAAATATTTGTTGTTCTAGTTTGATTTTTCTTTTATTACTGCTAGTTACACGGAATATTTTATGGAAATGCTTTGCAGAAATATTTTTAAATAACCAAACATCTAAGCTATCTGTCTAATGCTTGTACCTTCAATTTCACAGTCTGATTTTTACCATGCTTGACCTTTCAACAGAGAGCAGAGTGGGCAAATTCTATGGTCACAACACCACCTACAAAGCTGCCAGAGCTTTCCAGCACTCATTTTGATGGGATTGCAATGGCCAGACCAATGCATTCTTGCTTTAAAGCATAATGAAGAGTGATTCAGCATGAAAACAAGGTACTGTATATGTTCCTGTAGGCCTAATTCTAAAGCAAAGCATAGGCTGAATTATCTATTATTTTATCTTTAATTCAAACCTACAAAATACCAAATAGTTAAATCCTGTTATCTGTAAAAACACAGTGTCAGAAATCCAGCTGCTTGGTATTGTAAGTCACAACTAGAGCAGGCCACTGAATCAATGAAATTTATAGAGGAGTTCATTTACCAAATCCCCAATGATTCACTGGGGCTACTCTAGTTGCAACTTACTATATTAAGCAACAGGACTTTTAGCCATTAAATTATAACATTGATCATAATAAAATAGTCAGTGACTAAAACATTTTAAAGGGGCAACATAAAAAGTAAAAATAGAGAGAATGGGATCTCCTATTAAAAGCCCTTTTCTCAGTGGCCCAATCAGTTGCCAAAAGCCTGTACAGTGGGGTCTTGACTTAAGAACGGCTTGAGTTAAGAACATTTTGACTTAAGAACCACTCTCATAGGAAGATATTGACTTGACTTACATACTTAGATTTGAGTTAAGAACTGAAAAAAAACCAGATGGGAGGCAGGGAAAGTGCAAAATTTGAACTCTCAGTTAACTGTTGGACAGTGAAAAGGGTGCCTGTCTGCTTCCTCACTCCTCCCAGCGTTTAGAGAGTAGATTGGGAGACAGTCTTCGGACTGCCTGGTACTGTACTGCCTGGACTGTATTTTCCCTGCCTTCCCTGAACCTTTCTTGACCTAAGAAAAAAAGAAACAAAATATCCCCCTCTCGTGGTCGAAGGCGGAATAGCAGCTTCCCATTAGTTTCTATGGACGGAAAAGAGCAGATACGGATCAAATGGTTCTCAATGTATTCCTATGGGAAATGCAAGTTTGACCTAAGAACTTTTTGACTTGAGAACCGCCTTCCAATATGGATTAAGTTCTCAAGTCAAGACCCCACTGTACAAAGAGAAAAGTCTTCACCTGCAGGTGGACAGAAAACAAGGAGGAACAAAACTAGCTTCTACTGAAAGGGAGTTCTACATCTTAAGAGCATCCATCAAATAAACTCTTGTTTATAAAATGAAGACCAAGAAAATCATGCAGTGCACTGGCCACTTACCAACACTCATAGCAAACAGAAAATGTCCATTGTATGAATGTTATGTAGTAATTTTAAATAACCTCAATGCCTCTTTCCATCCCTCCCATTTGTTCCAGCTTGGCTACAGAACTAGAAGACTACTCAGAAGAGTTATAAGTCATACTTCCATAATACAGTAATCACTAACATTACTTGTCAATTTGAAGACAAAATGTCATTAACAGTATTTTTTCATAGAACTATCCAAAAGGACTTTATGATACCTATTGGTTGGCACAGACAATTCAGAGCAATCAAGTATACAAACTAACATTCTGTTTCCAGTTGTAGAACTTGAAATCTGTTATGAGATCCTGCTGAATTTTCTCTTAATCTATTTTACAATTAAATATTTAGAATAATTTCTTGCCAGTTACAATTTGCCATTTCACTGTTAACTCCTTTCAGGGCGTTAATCAAAAGGTCATCCATACTGATTATACTGTGCTATTGGGTCTGTTTGATAAATATTTCCTGACTGATACATTCCAGTTACAGTATAGTTTTACTGAGGCATTTGTTTTTATTTAACTTTTCCCAATTCTTTAATTTAATTTATTGACCAAATTTTTTCATATAGAGAAATTTATAAATTCAATATAATAAAATGTTACAAAGAAAGTATTTTTATGTTACACCACTATTACTTCCAATACTCTTAAATATCCCAAGCTTTGGATTACTGCTAGAAAATAACAATTTACCCAGCTTTGAGTCGTGAACTTTTGACCATGTGACCTGCCTCCAGACGTCCTTTAGGAATGTGATCTTGAACAGGATCCACAAACTTAAATACATGAGAGGTCCCAAACTGAACCTTCATGCCACTTTGCAGCATTGTGGTCTCGGAGATCCGCTGGCCTTCTACGTAAGTCTCAGCATCAATGCTTCTTGGGGTAACTGTAACAACTCCATCCATGTTAGTGAGGTCACAATGATGAGGTTGAATTCCTGGACCGAATAACTGAAAGTAAAAATAATCAAAACTCAGCTGCAAAATCAAAATTATACCACAAACAACAACAAACAAACAGGATTTCAAGACTAATTCTGAACCAGTAAAAGTAACTGCATTAAAATAGTTGTGTTACAGTTTGCATGCCTCATTCAGCAAAATGAGACATTTTTTCAAAAAATGTCCAGATATATTTGTTAATGTGAGCAAGTGGCATGAGTAGTGATTGGCTGGTAAACATAATGCATATATCAGCAGTTTAATATAAAGATGATGTTGCCTTGTCCAAGCACAATTTAAGACAAACAACAACATGTTGTCAAATCAAGATTAATCTGGATGAAACTGTGGTTTAAAATCCTGGTCAGCAGTCCTCACAAACACTCTTTTCCAACAACACAAGAGGCGACTCTATACATGGAAATCACCAGATGGGCAATATCGAAATCAGATTGATTATATTCTCTGCAGCCAAAGATGGAGAAGCTCTATACAGTCAGCAAAAACAAGACCTGGAGCTGACTGCGGTTCTGATCATCAGCTTCTCATAGCAAAATTCAAGCTTAGACTGAAGAGAGTAGGAAAAACCACTGGGCCACTCAGGTATAATCTAAACCAAATCCCTTATGAATACACAGTGGAAGTAAAGAACAGATTTAAGGAACTAGATTTGGTGGACAGAGTGCCTGAAGAACTTTGGATAGAGGCTCGTAACATTGTCCAGGAGGCAGCAACGAAAACCATCCCAAAGAAAAGGAAATGCAAGAAAGCAAAGTGGCTGTCCAACGAGGCCTTAGAAATAGCAGAGAGGAGAAGGGAAACAAAATGCAAGGGAGATAGGGAAAGTTACAGAAAATTGAATGCAGACTTCCAAAGAATAGCAAGGAGAGACAAGAGGGCCTTCTTAAATGAACAATGCAAAGAAATAGAGGAAGATAACAGAAAAGGAAAGACCAGAGAGCTGTTCAGGAAAATTGGAGATATTAGAGGAACATTTTGCGCAAAGATGAACAATGAAAAAATGACCTTAATTCCCACAAGCCATAACTAAATATTTTTTTAAAATAATAGAACAATAGAGTTCGGTAGAGCCTATAAGGGCATTGAGTCTAATGGAGGAATCCAAATAAAAGTAGATCTGATAGATGGCTGTCCAATTTTCTCTTGAATGTCTCCAATGTTTGAGTGTTCACAATTTTTCGAGTTAACTGGTTCCACTGTCATACTGCTTTAACATTTAGGATGTTTTCCCTGATACTTACGAACGTCCCTACTTATGACCATTACGAGTTATGACCAGCTTCAGCCACAAAATTTTGCTTCTACTTGCGACTGGAGCTTCCACTTACGAACAGAAAAAGGCAGAGGAAAAAGGTGGGAAATTTGAATTTCTAACCATAGGTGGTGATGAGTCTGCTTCTTTGTAGCTCTTTCGCCCCAGTAATTAGAGAGTGTATGTTGTTGGAAGAGGCTTGGGACTGCCTCCTGCTTCTGAGTGTCTGTGTCTGTGTTTGCAGGGAGGCTTCGGGCTGCCTTGTAAGGTAAGGTGCTGTTTTCTGCTTTTTCAAAACTGTTCTGGGTATTTTTGCAGTGTAGTTTTGAGCTGGGGGGGTTATGTTTCTGTGCTGTGATAGGTCTTGGGGGTTTTGTTTGTTTTTTGGTTCCCCATTTCCGATGGGTCTTGGGGATTTGTCTGTTTTTTGGTTTCCCCCCTCCAGTTCCAATGGGTCTTGGGAGGGTTGGTAACTTTTTGGGGTTCCCCCCCATCTCTGATGGGTCTTGGGGGGTTTGTTTGTTGGCTTATTTTCCCCCCATTTCCGATGGGTCTTGGGGGTTTGTTTGTTGGCTTATTATCCCCCATATCTGATGGGTCTTGGGGGGGGGTTCGGTTTCTTTTGGGGGTTTTCCCCCCATTTCTGATGGGTCCTGCATGCTTCCCTTGCTTTTTCCTTTGTTTTCTTTATATTTCCGACCTGCCCACTTTGTTCCCTGTGCATTTCTGATCTGCTCTGTTTGTTTTCTGTGAATTTCCAATGGGTCTTGCATGCTTGATTGCTTCCCCCTCCCCTTTGACCGGAAGGGATTAATCGCGTTTCCAATGAATCTTGCAGTGATTTTTTTCGGTTCCCCCCCCCTCCAGCCAGAATGGATTAATTGCGTTTTCAATGCATTCCTACGGGAAATGGTGCTTCGACTTACGGCCATTTCGAGTTACGTCCATCTTCTGGAACGGGTTATGGTCGTGAGTGGAGGCAGGAACTCAGATTTAGCTAAACACAAGCCCATTAGTAGCTGTCCCGTACTCTGGGATGATAGAGAAAAGATCTTGCCCCTCCTATTTATGACTATCTTTCAAGTATTTGAAAAGTGGTATTACATCTCCTCTCAGTCTTCTTTACTCAAGACTAAAACATGCCCAGTTCTTTCAGTCCTTCCTCATAGGGCTTGGTTTCCAGTCACTGATCATCCTTGTTGCCATCTTTTGAACTTGTTCCATTTTGTCAGCATCATTCTTAAAGTGCAGTGTCTAGAACTGGACACAGTACTTAAGATGAGAAGTAACCAGTGCCAAATAGAGGGAACCAGTACCTCATGGGATTTGGAAATTATACTTCTGTTAATGCAGCCTAAAAGAGCATTGGCCTTTTTTGCAATTACGTCACACTGCTGGCTCATATTTTGCTTGTGATCTACAATAATTCCAAAAGCCTTATCACTCACTTATCATTGAACCAAGCATCACCCAACTTGTAACTGTGTGTTTGGTTTTTCCCCTAGGTGCAGAACTTTACACTTACCTCTGTTAGATTTCATTCTGTTGTTTCCATAAGTCAGGGACAGCTAATCATCTAGTTTCTTCCTCCACTTTTTGTAGGAGAAAATTATCAGCAACACAAGCTGGGAATTTCTTGGAAGGGCCATGTTTGGGAAAAATTGCCTCCCAATAGATATCAGGATAAGTGAAATCTCCCATTACTCTGACATTGTGTCTTTTTGAAATTCTTGTACAGTGGTGCCTCGTATAACGAGTGCACCGTTGAACGATGAATCCGCATTGTGATGTGGATTTCCCCATCACTAATGCGAGGGCATGCTCGCATTACGATGGGGGAACAGCTGTTCAGCGGTTCCAAAATGGCCGCCGGAACACAAAAAATGGGTGCTGGTACACCCAAGATGGCTGCCGGGACTCTCAAAATGGCTGCCGGTACAACCAAGATGGCCGCCAGAACACAAAAAATGGCCACCGGTACATCCAAGATGGCAGCCGGAACACAAAAAATGGCCGCCGGTACACCCAAAATGGCCGCCGGTACACCCAAGATGGCTGCCGGAACAAGGGAAAACGTCGGAGAACGGTGAGTTTTGGGCCCATTTGGAACACATTAAACTTTGTTTAATGAATTCCAATGGTTTTTTTGGATCCGTTTTACGATGTTTTCCCATAGCGAAGGTTAACCCGGAACGGATTAACCTCGCTATGCGGGGCACCACTGTAATTTGTTTTTCAAAGGTTCCATCTGCATCTTCTCTTTGATTGGTCAGTAGTAGATTCCAACTACCATGTTCCTTTTGTTTTTTTTTGCCCTAACTATATTAATCCAGATGTTCTCTATGAGACAATTAAGCTCATCCTCCTGTCTTTCTGTACAGGAATATGTACTCTTGAGATATATTGTGACTTCATCCCTCTTTCTATTCTTTTTGAACAAGTTATATCCTTCAACTGCTGTATTCCAGTCATGAGAATCATCCTACCAAGTTTCAGCTATCCCAATCAAATCATATTTACCCTCCTGAACTAAATTTTCCAGTCCTCCTTGTTTGGTTCCCATACTCCTGGTATTCATATATAGACACCAGAGACTGTGTGCTTTGTTGCCTGCTTTCCTTTGTACATTTTTTGAAGATTATTAGGTGATATTAGAGTTGCCCACTCTGTTCCTCTTATTGTTCATCAGCCTTCATCTCTCTTTACCTCTGAGCCTGTGTCTCCCTCTCCCCTTCCAATTCAGACAGATTCTGGGATCTGTCTCAGTTTAGTCCTCTGCTGTTCTCTGTTAGGAGACAGCAAAAGGCCCTCCTAGTAATTACAACTGCTACTTATTGCTCTTTGCATCTAATTTACAGTTGTGGCCAAAAATATTGGCACCCTTGCAATTCTGTCAGAAAATGCAACCCTTCTCTCAGAAAATGGTTGCAGTTGCAAATGTTTTGGTACTCACATATTCATTTCTTTGGTTTGCATTGGAACAACACAAAAGAATAGTGAAGAAAAGTCAAATCTGATACAATCCCACACAGAAACCCAAAAATGCACTGGCCACAATTATTAGCACCCTGTCTAAATTGTAAGAAATAATTGCTTTTCAAGCATGTGATGCTCCTTTAATTTGCATTTAGACAAACCTGTTGCAAATAAGAGGCGTGGGCAATATATTAATCACAGTTGCAACCAGTTAAGATGGAGAAAAGTTGACTCAACCTTTGTGTTGTGTGTGACACTGATCATGGAGAAAAGAATGAAGTGTAAAGAGTTGTCTGTGGATTTGAGAGAAAAAACTGTGGAAAAACATCAACAAGCTCAAGGTTACAAGTCCATTTCCAGAGTTCCTGTGTCCACTGTGCGCAATATCATCAAGAGGTTTACAGCCCATGGCACTGTAGCTAACCTCCCTGGACATGGGCGGAAGAGCAAAATTACTAAAAAATTACAACGAAGGGTTGTTCGAATACAGAACCTAGATTACTGTATTTGCCGGCGCACAAGGCAACTGGCCGTATAAGACGACCCCCCCCCAACAGGAGGAGGAGGAAAAGGGAAACAGGCGGGTGGCGGGCGAGCCACCACGCAGCTGGCTCAGCGGAGCAGGGCAGCGGGCAGCCCAGTGGCGGCTCAGGCATGGCAGCAAGAGGGTGAGGAAGAGCGGAAGAGGCTGAGTGGGAGGCGGTAGGAGGAGGAAGAGGAAAAGGGAAACGGGCGGGTGGTGGGCGAGCGAGCGCGCGGCTGGCTCAGCAGCGCGGGGCGGTGGGCAGCCTGGCGGCGGGCTCTGACCGCTCAGGCATGGCAGGCTGTGCTTCCCTCCATCCATCCAGACCGACTGCCTGCCTGCCTTCCTCCCTGGCCAGCGCGGCCCCGCGTCATTCAGTGCACCCAGTGTACAAGACGACCCCCCCACTTGGAGGCATGTTTTTGGGCCCAAAAAGTCGTTTTGTACGGCAGCAAATACGGTAACTTCCCAACAAATTCAAACTGATCTGCAGACACAGGGTACAACAGTGTCAGCTCGCACTATCCGTCGCCATCTGAATGAAAAGGGACACTATGGTAGGAGACCCAGGAGGACACCACTGCTGACACAAAGGCATAAACAAGCAATATGAGTATGGCAAAACCTATGTGACAAATCCACAATCCTTCTGGGAGAACGTACTGTGGACAGATGAGACAAAAGTAGAGCTTTTTGGTCAAGGACATCATGGCACTGTTTACAGAAAAGAAATGAGGCATTCAGAGAAAAGAATACAGTCCCTACAGTCCAACATGGTGGAGGTTCAAAGATGTTTTGGGGTTGCTTTGCAGCTTCTGGCACTGGATGCCTTGACTGTGTCACTGTGGTATCATGAAATCTGCTAATTACCAAAGAATTTGGGGCACAATGTAGTGGCCAGTGTCAGAAAGCTGCATCTCCACCAGAGGTCATGGGTCTTCCAGCAGGACAATGACCTGAAACACACTTCAAGAAGCACTCAGAAATGGTTACAAACAAAGCGCTGGACAGTTCTGAAATGGCCAGCAATGAGTCCAGGTACAAATCCCATAGAACACCTGTGGAGAGATTTCAAAACAGCAGTTGGGAGAAGGCATCCTTCAAATCTGAGGGCCCTGGAGCAGTTTGCAAAAGAAGGGTGGTCCAAAATTCCAGTAGAGAGGTGTAAGAAACTCATTCATAGTTAAACAATTGATTTCAGTTTTTTCCAAAGGGGGTGCTATCAAATATTAAGTTAAGGGTGCCAATAATTCTGGTGAGTGCATTTTTGGGTTTCTGTGTGGGATTGTATCAGATTTTACTTTTCTTCTCTTTTTTGTGTGTTGTTCCAACACAAACCAAAGAAATGAACATGCGAGTACCAAAACATTTGCAACTGCAACCATTTTCTGAGAGAAGGGTTGCATTTTCTGACAGAACTGCAAGTGTGCCAATATTTTTGGCCATGACTGTATATCTGTAAGGAAAAGAGGAAGTATGAGAGTCTAAAACTCATGCCTCTTCATGTTCATAATGCCAAGTCACAATTTGGTGTTAGGTGCAAAGAATGCCAAAGAGTATTTTCTCCCAAACAGAGACATACACAGCTATAAAACACTGAAGTCTATCTTTTTCCTTGATGCCCACTATTATACATGGAGTATGGAAAAATGACAAAATGGGTTTTGTATCTATGTTTGGAAAGCATGTTGCAAATTAGAAAATCAATGTGCAATATACACCACATTTCATCCTATAACCTAACAGCCTGATGTTCCTGCGACTTTAAGGTTTTGTAGACTTTCCCTCAGTGCTTTGCATCCAAGGGTGAAAAATGTAAAAGGCAAAGCATGCTGATTATAAACACTCTCTAGGTGTTTATAAAAGTTTATAACAGTTTATCACAGTTTAATTATGCAGGCTACACATTGCTCCCCCTAGCAAGCTGGGTACTCAGTTTACTGACTTCAGAAAGGGGGAAGGCTGAGTGAAACTCATGGCCTGGGATTGAACCCAGGCCACGAGCAGAGTTTTGCTGCAGTACTGCAGTTTAACCACTGTGCCACAAGGTTTCTTTAAACTTTTTAAATTTAAACTTTTCCATTGTGCTATGTCACAATCAGTTTCCTGTTCTGCCTTAGTAAGTGTGATTTTTAGAAACTAAAAGCAGCATAAACATAGTATGGTATAAAAAAATAAAACCCCAAGGGTTCTAAATAATGACCTAGAACTTTAAATAATCTCCTCTTGCATATAAAAGGATGTAGGAAAGCTAAACTCTGTAATGCCATTGAATATCATACCACATTCTTACTGCTATAAGTATGCACAATCACACTTTACTGTGATTTCTAAGTACTAGTACTTAGGATACTATTGGCTTTACTCAAAATTTTGTTCCTCACCTGGATTGAGTTTTCATCAAATTTTTCTGTACCAACCTCTGTCACACTTAATTGCAAACGATAGAGCTTTGGTTTATCTCTGGAATCAGAACCATCTGTAAGCAAGAAGAGAGGATTTGATTTAAAATAGTAATTTCCACTGGTTAAATTTTAGCAAGGATAAAATACAGAAATATTAGACTGCAAGGTAGAAACTCTGGGAATTCTAACCTTGAATGAGGCTTATAAAAATATGTCACAGGATGCTACTGTTACAGGAAGGTGAATGGTTTTAACTAATTCTTTGAAATTCACTGAAGAGCTGCTCCAAGTGACGGAAAGAGACTATTGAACAATGTGGAAAATGGCACTGAGGACTACAAGGAAGGTTAGAAAAAATTGCTTTCCTCAGTCATGTTCTATGAGGAAAAGGAAAAGTTTCCATTCAGTCTTATACATGATATTTTGTCTTTATGCATAAACCCAAAGAGGCTTTAATTTGAGATTAAGGTGGAAACAGTCAATGAACTGCTTTTGAAATCTATGGCTTTACATCTGATACCTTTCTCTTTGTATATCAGCTAAAAAGCCAAATGTGAATAACTCCCTATGGGGAAAAATTATGGAGGAAGAAATAAGAGGGCTGCAAAAAAAAGTGAGATTTGCAAAACTTGCAAACTTCTATGACTTCCATTATAACCAGAATTACATTCACAGGAAATTGAGATATACAGAAGCATATCTATAGACTGGATTTCACATATCCTCAAGTGAAAGTTCATTTCAGCCGGCATTTGCTACAACACAATTAATACAGCAAAATTAATTTAAAAAAAACTAATCTGAAAAATGTGTGTGCATTTCTGTGATATATATTTTTGCATACACTCTTCCAAGTGTACATATTTAGCAAGTTTTAAATATGCATTTTGGATATACAGTGGTGCCTCGCTTAACAAGCGCACCGTAGAATGACGAATCCGCATAGCGAGGGGGTTTTTTCGAGCGCAACTGCGATCGCAAAGCGATGGCCCCAATGGGCGAAACTCGCATAGCGAAGGTCGGTAAGTGTTTCGCTTACCGACCTTCGTTTTGCGACCCGCGAACCAGCTGTTTGGCGGCTCCAAAATGGCCGCCGGAAGCCCCGAAATGGCCACGTGCAGCGTTTTCGCGCCCTCGGTAAGCGAGGGGAGGGCGCGAAAATGGCTGCCAGCCATAGGAAAACATCACTGAACAGTGAGTTTTCAGCCCATTTGGAACCAATGGGTTTTCTTGATCCGTTCAGCGATGTTTTCACATAGCGAGGGTTAATCCGGAATGGATTAACCTTGCTATGCGAGGCACCACTGTACGCATACTTATTCACACTTTTTCTTAACACACACACATATATATCTGAGTTGCAAAAGAGACCACACAACATTGAAAAGTGCAAATTTGGATTCAAAAGAATGTCCTGGCTCACTTACAGGTTCAGCAACTCCAATTTTTTTAAGTTAATACAAAAGGTCAGAACTATCAAATTTCCCCTACGTCCCTATTTTATGATCCAAGACTTTTTGTTGTTTGCTTTTATTTTGTCTTCTTTTAACTTTGGGTAAATCATACTGAGAAATCATAAAAGTATTCTAGGATTGTAATCCCATGCATATTGTCTGGGAGTAAGACCTACTGAAAAATAGTGAGAAGTGCTTCAGAACAACGTGCACCGTATTATGCTGTAAATAAAACAAGCAACCATTCTATGAAGTGTTGAATTACTAAGACCACTTTTTGGAGACAAGTTTTAATAGAACAATGGCAAAAAAGAATTCCACAAAAATTTGTCTGCAATACTATTTTTCTATATAAATGGTTCTAAATTTAGAAAGTGATTTAACAGAATCCTACTGGCCATTTACACAAATTGTATAGCCCAAAGTAGTGCATACAGCTTTTAAGGCATGCTAAAATTAAAAACTTTTCAGTAGCTTCCATTCTTTGTTCCCTTAACAACTAAATAATATAAAGTAGGGGTCAGGGAACTTTTTTAGCTTTTACCCCCACCCCCAAATTTATATACATTGACATTTCCCCCTTGGCTCTTGCTGTTTGCGGCCCACCCCCTCCGCTGCCACACCGCTGGGAAAGCACATCCTTGGCGAGGGGAGGTGGGCGCCACAGGGCCGGCAGGTCCACTGGCCATGAGCTCAGGTGTGGTGGGGTGGGAAGGGGGCCTCCTCGCCAGCACGCCGGGTGGGTAGGCGTGGGCAGGAAGGAGAGCTCCGGCCAGGACTCCAACGGGCAAAGAGTCCAGCTGGCCTGGTTTGCCACCCTCCCCCCCACTTTGGAGGCAAGGAGGACAGGCGGGTGCCCTATGCAGTTCCCCACCAGGGCTCACTGTCCCCGCAACGGAACGCCCGCTTACACACAGCATCATCGGAAATAAAATGCCTGGGAGTAAAATGCCTGCCGCAACCGTCCTCATTACCGCCAGGATTTTCATATTTACCCCATTTGGGGTAATTTACCCCTGTTTCCTGAACACTGATATAAAGGGAGTATATTCTATTGGGATACATCACAAAATGTTTACAACTATTCTAACACAGATACTCTCCAGTAAAGCCCTGTATTTGTTTAAACAAAATAAACAGAGTATTTTGTCAACATTTAATTTTAAATAATTTTACTTAGCATAAAAAACTACTCAGCTATTTATATAAAACAAGACATTAATATAGCATTCTGAGATTTAAAAATAAATAAATAAAGCATGCTAAATCAATTGTTGGTTGATTTGTAACACTGAAAAAGGTTTCTTCCCTGAAAAGCCCACTATGGCAGTATAATATGGGCTGCCAGCACAGAGAAAAGTTTATGAAAGGAAGTATATAATTTCTTTTCCTCTATGCAAAGTCTTAGGCCTGGAAGAAAAAAGACTATACCTACAAAAAAAATAGACTGGGAAGAAAATCAACATAATTAAACATACTAACATTAGTATATAATAATTAATATAATATAACAGACTAAACTGAACCGTTAAGTTAAAGACACACACCTTGCATTACATGTTCAAACTCAGTGGACTAGGTTTTCCAGAAAACCTTAAATTACAAAATGTTTTGGAAAATGTTATAAAGTCCTAAGTAGATCATGATCTGATTTTCAATTTTTATTTTGTTTAGATTTACAAAATAACATTCTGCAGTGCCCCATCAGCCCACAAATAACTGAAGGGAAATATCTGACTCAAAGAAGAAAAAAGAAAACACACTTAATGTGTTTTCAATACTGTATTCAAACGAATTCAGTTTTTTATATGAAACTTACTTGTACCAGAATATTTGTTTTTCATTTATATATATAAACAGGTTTTCAAATACTTTTGGCACTGAAACAGACACACTAATATTAACATGCCCAACAAACAATGCATTTATATGCTATGATTCCCCATTTATGTACTTCCCAACGAATTTTTTTTTGGTAACTGGAGAATCTCTAGTATCAATGCTACTGGGCACAATCATTTGCATGACTTCAATTTCAGATTGAGGCAAACATTATTGAGAATTTTATTTATTTTTATTTATTTATTCGATTTTTACGCCGCCCCTCTAGACAACGTCTACTCGGGGCGGCTAACTATTCTCAACCATATTGTTACTGATGAACTTGTTGAAACAAAGCCTTTACAGGATTTTTAAAATTTATTTATTTTTCTAGCTTTTACCTTGCCCATCTAGATTCGATGAATCTACTCTGGGCCACAAAGGTGGACAGCATGGCCCACGCAGCTGCTCTACAGATGTCTGCCAGGTCAACTCAACTCAGGAAAGCCATGGAGGATGCAACAGCCCTAGTCAGCTCATTTGCTAGGTGGGTAGTGGAAACTATCCAATGCGAAATTGTTTGTGGACGTGACCAGGGGAATCCCCTTGAGTGACCTTGGAAGGAGACAAATAGGCAATTTGATGTGCAGAAAGATGCAGGGTGGGAAAATGCCCTCTTGACATTCAGGGTGTGCAGCGACCATTCCAGATGTGATGTTGGAGCAGGAAAGAATGTCGGTAGAACTATCGGCTGCTTCAGGTGAAAATACGTGGCTACCTGAGGCACGAAAGAGAGATCAGATTAGAGCGTCACCTTATCTGGGTGAAATTGAAGGAAGGGCGCGTCGACTCTGAGGGCCGCCAGCTCACTGGCTCAACGGGCAGATGTAACAACCAGAAGGAAGGCTTTTAGCGTGAGCAGTTTCTCTGTTAGCCAGAGGTTCAAAAGGCGGACCCATGAGTTTGTTGACAACAAGTTGGAGGGACCACTATGGAGTTGGCGGTTTGTAGGCCTCGTAGTAACTGCTTGAGGGTGGGATGGTGGAAGAGGTTTGCTGCCTCTGAAGACGGTGGGTGATGTGCAACTATAGCAGCTATATACATCTTGAGAGTGGAGTGGGAAAGGCCACGCCGGAAGAGGAGGAGAAATTGAAGGACCGTATCAACAAGGTAGGTTGCGTGGGAAAGTGTTGTCCAGAGGCGAACGTGGAGAAAACTTTCGACTTGTAGGCTTATGTGAGTATTGTCAAGCGCCTGCCTGTATGATCCAAGACATCAGCTACCGTGGACGCAGCCTCCAAGCTCAGATGCAGGGACTCCAGGTCTGGGTGGAATGTCCTGCCCTGGTGCAGGGAGAGGAGGTGAGGTACTTCTGGAAGCTGAACGTAGGCCACCACATCCTGATGCAGGGTGTAGAACCACGGTTGGCGATGCGACCATGGGGAGATGACGTTCGTCCTTTCCTGTTGTACCTTGACGATGGCCTTCTGAACCAGTGGTATGGGCAGGAATGTGTAGAGGAGCCCCCCGGACCAAGCTGTCGTGAATGCATCGCCCACTAAGTGATGGCCAATTCCCGCTCTGAAGCAATAGCTTGGAGGCAAATACATCCAGTTGAGGTGTGCCCCACTGATGACAGAGTGAGAGGAAGATGTTGTTGTCCAAAAACCATTTGTGACTGGAATCGTGGAGCCTGCTTAGCTGATCCGCTAAAACATTTTTTTCTAATGCTACATGTACCGCCACCAGATAGATGTAGCGGGAGTAGCACCACTCACAGAGTTGGACTGCCAGGTACA